TTGCTATGACTTTGAATCTTTTCATTTTGTCCCAAGTTCCCGACGGTTTGTCAATATCAAAACCTAAACAGAAACAAGCATTACCATTAACAAAACATCAATGTGAAAATGCTTTCTAACAATGGAAAATTTTAGCCATAAATTCCTTCCAACGGTCAGGTTTCTACATCGATGTTCATTAGTTAAACATCATTGTTCAGGCCTGACTTTGAAGGGTGAAGAAATGGCCTTACTTGTTCTCCAAAATCATGGGCAAAGACAAGAGCAGGGCTGGTACCTCTGGGAAATCAAAGTCCAAATCCCGGGCGCCTGCAACGACCTCCGACGAACGCTTCTACTACGGAGACGGGTCGTACCTCTGGTTCGATTCTGAGGAGGAGCGCACCCACTTTCTCACCTTCTTCTCCAAGCGGGTTGTGGCTCCCCCGCGGATTGTCCCGGAGCGACTCCTAGAGCTGCTCGGGTACGACTTCCTCGATGCGCAGCTCCACCAAATCGGGCTATGGCCGTTCGTCTCCCGGGCTCGGAAGTAGATCAACCCAGCGCTGATTCGGGTTTTCTACTCGGATCTCCGGCGTGAGGACAACGTCATCTACAGCCTCGTCAAGTCCACGCCGATTGAACTCACCGTGGAACGACTTGGGTGCATCGCCGGCCTCCCCTACCAAGGCGACGACATCTCCAACTACGGCGGAGAAGATTGGGTCCTCAACAATGAGGGCCTTGTCCTCAACGAGCTCAGCATCACCGAACTCATCTGCCACGCCACGGGCCGCCCCACCGTCCACTCTGTGACCCCCGAGAGTCGCCTCCTTCTATACATCGTGTCCCGGATCATCAAGCCCCGGAAGCACGGGCACACGATCATGTCCGGCGAGGATCTCAAGCTCCTCCACGCCATCATGAACTCGGCGCCGATCAATTGGGCGAATTTCGTCATGATTTACATGACGGATGCCACGTCTACCGCCCACGATCACCTCCTCCCTTACCCCTTCTTGGTGATGGACATCCTTGAACGGTTCAAGGTTACCACCACCGTTGGCCCGCTCACCAAGGCCACAAAGATTTGGACGATCAGTGCTCAAACCTTCAAGAAGCGGTCGGACAACGTCGCGCCTGCCACTGCCACACGACGCCACACTGCCGATGGCCCAGCCGAACCCCTGGCCCGGGCCAACCTTGCCTTCATCACCGACTCCCTCAACCGGCTGAACTTCAAAGTCGACGGGATGGGCGGGTACCTTGAACGGCTCGACGAGGCTGTTCAACGCCAAGGGTACGCCATGAACGCGTACTTCCAACACGTCAACTACGTCCCCCCACCGTACCAAGGCATGTTCCTTGGGAAAGTGTATGGTGACGAGGACAAAGAAGATGGCTCCTACGCCCCGTCAAGCTCCCCGGACGAGGATGAGTTCGACGACGCCATTGATGGTGATGAGATGGACGTCGACGACGACGAGGAGGAAACCGAAGGCGAAGAGGAGGAAGACGAAGACTAGGCTGCCCCTAGAATTTCTACTTTTTTCTATTCATTTGTCATGTTTTTTTCATTGCTTCCGTTGTACTCCGCTCTTTCCCAAATTCAATAAATAAAAGTTATCTTTTATCTTTTTGTTAATGTCAAAAGGGGGAAGCAACGGGCTATGCATACACTAAGGGGGAACGTTTCTAAAAACGGATCGGTTGATTTTATAACGACTATTTGCTTTTAAGCACAAATTAAGGGGGAACTTTTTCACACGTTTTGAAATTCAAATATCCCTTAGTATGCATATCTCCGTCTTGTTTGCCATTATCAAAAAGGGGGAAATTGTTGGAACACGGGTTTATGTCTACGTCGTACTAAACCGTGTTCGTTTTATGACAGGTTTTGATAATGCCAAACCGCCGTGATAACAAGATTAAACCAAGAACTAAGAACAAAGACTTAGAAATAAATTGAGTCGGTCTTAATGTGATCAAAACCGGCACAAACTTTTAAACTTGGCTCTCTTGGCTCATTTCATTAAAATACTCTTTTGCATAGTCAAAAATGTTTTTCATAAGTTTTAAACAAGCCTAAAACACTTGGTGTTCGCCCAAACCAAAAACCAAGTCATCTGGTGTTCGGCTTTCAGAAACCGGCGTTCGGCTTTCGGTTATCGGCGTTGGTTTTTGGGGTTCGAACCAACCAAGTGGTTTTCAACTTTTTATGATTGGTATTTTTGGCCATGTGTGCATCAATTGTCCCGTGGCGGAGGCTATGTGGGCCAAGTCACAATCGAATGTCGTGGGCGCTTGTGTGCTGAATGCACTATAAGACTAGGGTATGCGTCTCTTCTAACACCAATTGGTTTTAGAAGAGTTGGTAGCGCCTGAGGTCTTACAAGTGGTATTGGAGCCAAGGTCACGAGTTGGTATATATATGTACACACACACATACAAATGTATAGTTCTTCTCACCCCTTAATTCAAAAAATATACGACAAAAACATTGGTGATTTTATTATTCTCCTCCCCCGCATTTATTTAACAAACTTTGATTTCCGATCTTGTAATTTTAATATTAAAAAAATCTGGATTATTCTTCGCCAGATTAATTTACATTAACGGAATTTCTTTATATGATTGCGAAAATGAAGAAAAGAAAATCGAGTTATACTTCATCCGTCTTTTTTATTTTCATGCATCAATATAGTGAATTATCACCCAATATAAATTTATAAATGTTAAGTTACATCTTAAAAATGGTAAGTTACAGTGTAAACTTTCTTTGATTAGATAAATTACAAAAGTCAAATTAAATATTCCTACTAAGTAATTTAGTTTAAACACTTGATCATTTAAAAAAACAATCAAGTCATATCTTAATTGTAACACCCCGGCTCCCACCCTAGCCATAAGTGTTCGCTCATAGGATTATAGACTGGCCCCACAAACCAACACAGTCTTTCCCGCACACTTTGTCCTCACTCGTGCAAGCCCAAGGAAATCTTTCCAGGGGGTCACCCATCCTAAAATTGCTCCAGGTCAAGCACGCTTAACTTTGGAGTTTTTTAGGTGATGAGCTCTCAAAAAGAAGATGCACCTTGTTGGTATGAGTAGTACTATCAATCCTTTTGAGCTCTTCCCATTCCCATCTTGATACAGGGTATTACATTCACCCCCACTTAGAAATACAACGTCCTCGTTGCATCCTTTTTTTGAACCCATAGATCTTCCCCGTGGGGGTGAATGCAATACCCCGTATCAAGATGGGAATGGGAAGAGCTCAAAAGATTGATAGTACTACTCATACCAACAAGGTGCATCTTCTTTTCGAGAGCTCATCACCTAAAAAACTCCCAAGTTAAGCGTGCTTGACCTGGAACAATTTTAGGATGGGTGACCCCTTGGGAAGTTTTCCTTGGGCGTGCATGAGTGAGGACAAAGTGTGCGGGAAAAACTTGTGTTGGTTTGTGTGGCCAGTCTACAATCCTATGAGCGGACACTTACGGCAAGGGTGGGGGCCGGGGTGTTACATTAATATATAGAATTTTAATATAGGGATTAAGAAGTATTTGTTATTTTACATCAATATTTAAATAAATAGAATAAAACTAACTTCCCTTAATCATAACAAAAAGAAATATGAAATTTTCCTTATATATTTCAAGCTGATTCAAACTATTCATACTCAGTTAGTAAGATTGCTTGCTTTCCTGTAATATATGATGTTGAGCAGATTGATTGGCCTACTATTATATATTATAATTTTGACTTTTATTATGATAACTCAGATACTATGGGTATGCTTGCTGCGGTTGGAAATGAAAAAGAAATAGTCAAAGAATCTAAGAGAACAAAAATAATTGTTATCACAATGGGAGCAGAAGGGTATTACAGTATTCATTTACTTTTAGAGAAAAAAATCATATATACTGCCCAAATCATGGTTAACAAAAGTTCTTTTATTATTTGAAAAATCAGCTTGAAGTTGGATGTTATCTTGTTCGGGGAGTATGTGAAGATGTTTAAAAGCTTTTTGATGAACAACCATTGGAACATGCTGTCATTGTGCTTCAATATGCTAAGATCAAAATGTTTCAAGGTATTACTAACTTTATGTACTACTAGGTTCTTTATAAACTTTTTGAATGATTGTAATTAATTATATTCATTTTTTTTGCATTTCATAATAAGACATTATCGTCTCTTATTCATTTCGAATAACCCCTTGCTTACATGTAGGTAATGTTATTCTGCAAAATGTCATGTTCGGGACACGCCTTCTCTTAAATCCAGAAGTTGACGATGTCACAGTGTTCAGACCGAGGTTAGTGCATTTGTATGACACCTTACAATGTTAGTATAATTTGATGTAAGTTGAGAATATTATTTCTAAGCACGATATTACCTTCGTGCAGGATGTTAGGCAGGGCTGCTCCATCTCAACCTATAAAGTTGTTGTGTGATGATGTTTCAAGTTCCGAGCAAAAAGAATTCCTTGATCCAACTAGATCCAGGGTGATTGCTACATTAAAGAATTGTGATGAGGTATTTCATACAAATTTTTTTATTTCTACTTCTAAGAAATATATAGGTGTCTTTCGTCTTATGCTTTCTCTTTTCAATAGAGCACATTTATGTTTTTAACTAATATGTGGTTTAATTAAAAAAGGATGGATCCTACATATTGTACGAGACTATTGTTGCAATGACAAATAATACTGATTGGTGGTATTTGGCATGCAAATGTAATAGAGATGTTAGGCCAGACGGCGCAGATGTATAGAATATTCCTCTAATAAAGTAACTAGAGAGTTTAGATGATACTCCCTCCGTCCCCCTGTATTTGTCCACATTTGACTTTTGGAACTGTTCATCTAAACACTTTGACTCATCAAATTCTCTCAATGTGTAAGCCTAAATATAGTCATGTGTGATCTTGTTTGATTTGTCTTAACATATAGATTATTAATATATAATTTTTATATTTTTTTAATATACAAATTACAAGATAAAATGGATTAAAGAAGTGTATTGGATGGTGTGCAAAAATGAAAGTGGACAAATACAGGGGGGAGTAGTATTTTTTTGGTGGATTAGGGTAAGGTTTGGTGGTAGGTCCTAGTCAATGTAGGTTTTTCCGTTTTGATAGGAGGTGTTTGGTGCAACTGTGCAAGTACCAGCTTGATCCTGATTGCACAAAATTCCCAATTTCCCATGGCTTCCCTTTAAATCGGGGAGAGTGCATAACTCCACGGAGGAAAAACTGGAATCCGCTTATTGAAGCCAAACTATGTCCGCCTACGACCAAGCGGCAGCGGCAGCAATTGCTCAGATAGCACTAGCGGCGGACGGTGCTCTGCTTGGTCTTACCCTAGCATTCGTTGCTGTGCGGAGCATATTCAAGTTTAGGGCTACACGCTCGGCTTTGCACATAATCGAGGAAGCCCCTTTGGTTCGGGTTTCAGATCTCCGCTCGCTCTTAGGCGCAGACAAAGATTTAAACCAATTCGATGGAGGCAGGGTGGTCATTGTCCGCGGCACTGTGGAGGCAAAGTCTTCCGTTGAAGGAAACTGGAAGAGCCTTGTGACTAACGTGCTTGTTGCTCCAGACTCGGGCGAGAAGGCTGTCATTTTGCAGCGTACTCACACTGTAATTCACTTATTATCTATATATCTTAGTTATTTTATTTTATTCGTTCAACTCTTATAGGACACGTTAAAGGGTTACCACGATTAATTGCTACTGAAACTGCAGTTACTATGTGCATTTCATGCTAATTTGGTGTCACACTCCCTTTTCCCTATAGTTGCCCATTTGGCTGAGATATTGGACGATCATCCCTGCTACTTTGTTACATTAGTTTTTTGTTGATAATTGCTAATGGGTTATACCCAGTCACACTGACCTGATCCTATGGCTCATGACCTGTAAGATGATGTCAGAAACCAATCTTTTGGACCAGCCCAGATGGCCGGGTGCTCATAGGCATCTATGGTTCCTACCATAGTTGACTATCCCTAGTCCTAGGGGGTAGGCATAGGCTATGTAGGCAGTCATTGTATCCGACATGCCAAACACATGAGATTTGATCTGAGCCATGTGTGGTCAGTTACACGTGCCCAGTGGTTTGCTGCCTGCACATGTTGGATGTGGACTAACATGTTTCAGTTTGGGCAGTTCATGAGACTAAATAAACCTCGCTGAGAACTATGAAGAGGGTCAACACATTCTGAAATCTATTTCTGTACAGGAATCTTTGTATTGTTACCGACCTCAAGTGTTCCTACCCTGCTCCTCCTCCTTTCGTCATTCAATTCTTGTTTCAGTTTTCCTTTATCACTCCAGTCTACCCTCTTTGACATAGCTCAACCTGTTCAAGTATAGTATGCCAACCTCCATGTGGATCTACAATCTACATATATCCCATCAATTCCTAATGTAGGTCTATAGCTAAGATTCAAGCCTTTTTCCTCTTCTTTTGTGTGTCTTGAATGACCTACAACAAATTTTTATTCCCAAATTATCTTCCCACTAAAATAGATGGCGTACTTTGTTCATCTATATGTTTGGCTGAATTATCTAACAAAAATATTTCAAATGTTTTTGTAATATCTAAAATATGATGGTAGAGGTCATTTAGTAATATACTCCATTTGTACTAAAACAATCTCCCTGTTTCCCTAAAAGGCACATTAAATTTCCATTTTTTCTTACTCTCTATATTGAGCCAGGGTTCTCTTTGGAAATATCCTCTCTACTTTTGAGTAGGGGTAAAGTCTGCATATACACACTCTCCCGAGACCCTAGTCTTGTGGGATTCAAATGGGTTGTTGTTGTTGCTTCTTACTCTCTATGAAGTTGTGGGTGGTAACTGTAGCAATGCATCAAGGGTCTAATAAAAACAACTGCTCTGTTATTTACATGGGTAAGACCATGTACATGACTACATGTTGACCCCCAAATCGTGACATAGTTGGGATTATATTGGGTTTGTTGTTGTTTCTTTTTTTAAGAAAGAAAAGTGTGGTTGGTAACGTTTTACTCATTTGAACCTAAATCCCAACCATAAAATTCCATTTTCAACAACGCTCCTTAATAAACATGCCAATTCAAAATGAAAACAATATTTTAAGATAGATGAAGGAGTTAAATTAGTTAGTGTGTGGTAGAAATTATGGCCCGTAAGGCTGCAATGTCAAAAAATTGAGTTACAAAGTTTTCTTACACGATATTATGTGCTTCGTCTTATAGCTGTGTGTGTTTTATTGTAAATGGAGACAAAGAAGTTGAGATAAAATCCCCTGCCCCAAAATAAAATTCACACATCTTTTTTCATTGTCCTAAAATGAACTTCACATTTCTCCTTTTTTTCAATTTAGGAATGAAATATCTTGCTCACTATTTTTCTCTCTTCTAATTAAATTTCAAGTACTCACTTTTTCAACATTTTTCATGAACTCCATGTCCATGAAGTCAAACACCGAAGTGTATTTCAGGACGGATGGAGTACGTAGTATAAGTTCATAGTTCAAACAGTAGTTAGAACACATGTCACTATGCTGTATTTATTAATTTTCTTGATCTGATGCGGCTGCTAACTTTCTGTCAATCTAAGGATTAATTGCTGCTTATTGAATTTATATTTATACTGCACTTTGTATCAACCTAGCTTTCCAATCTTAAGCCAGTACATTGTCCACTGTTTATGTTATCAGTGGATTATGGTGGGATGTTTATTATTCAATCTTTTGTCTCGTGTAGTGTATATACAATGATTGGAAAGTGTTCATGGGATGGAACAGTGATCTACTATCACTTTTCTCAAGTTCTCGGAGAGTGCACAAGTCTTCCTCCATTAGAAAGGTAATGTATATGAACTCTGGTGTTTGCCAATGTTTATGGTTGCTATTTTAATTAAAAATAGACATCATATCTTGCGGCATGTCTTCTGAAAACAAAAAAAATCAAAACTTTTGAAATAGAGAACATCAAATAAGTCATGTGACCAACTAACCTCAAGTATCTCAATTGAAAATAAAAGTGTGTGCATTATCTTGTAACTTTCTTTCCATTTGGGGGGGGGGGTCTTCCATCTTTGGGCCATGATCATACACCATCAGTGGATTGGGCATCATGGGTAAGTTCATTCCTATGTTTATCTCCCAGGTTGTAGGCCATGTGTCTGTGAGAATGCCGTTCATTAATTGTCCAGTAATGTACGGAGTATATTTTAATTTTACAGCACTTCATTTATTTCTAATGCTATATGAAAGCTCAATAGGAAACATTTTTTTAATATATTCTTATTATGTCTTCCCAAAATCGTGGTCAAGTAATTTCCTCAAATTCAATGCAACCATAGTTAGCGGTAATTTCCTAGCAAATGATTTAAATTAAAAGATAACATTAGAAGTATCAAAATTTGAACAGGAATTGAGTCAATTTTGATCATGAATATAATAAAAGCGACAAGCAGAGAGTGTAGTTTTACTTACTTTTTTTTATTTAGTGATTGCGTTTGAACTAATTCGGTAACAGGTCCCCTTTGTTATTGTTGAAGCTGGAAGGTGGCCACAATCTGAATATGTTAATGTTAAGCTGGATGGATCAATGCACCCCCTACCACTTGTGACAGTCTACCATCACTTGCATCCAGTTAACGCCACTCCTCTTACTTTTCTCCAGGCACTTTTTGGTCATCAGTACCCTGTCAGTATTAGTTGGCTTATGGATTTTTTATAGCTCAGTAATAATTAAATTTATTTTTTAATCGTTGATAATATAATCATTTTTTTTCTATTTGCAAAGGTTGGGCTGCTAGATGAAGAAAAAATCCTGCCACTTGGGAAGGAGATAACTGCAGTTGGCGTTTGCAGCTCGAGTAGTGGAACTCTAGAGATCAAAGCATGCAACTATCTTCCTTTTTTCATGTAAGTTGACATTCTTTTTGGTATTGGCTGGGTGGGTGTTGAGAACACTCTCACCACACTTGATTTATATAATACTACCTCCATCAAAAAACCTTTCTTGTTTTGATTTGTTTTCATTTTTTTGTCAAACAACACTCTTTAACCAGAAATTCAAAATAATTTGAATAAACAAATGTTATAAAAGTTTGATTTATCAAAACTATATCCTTAGATGAACCCAATTGTATTGAATTTACATTAAAATTAAATATATTTTTTTCACAATTTGAGGTCAAAGAGTGTCTCAGTTTGACCAAAAAAGTCAAAATATGAAAGATTTTCCGAGACAAGGTAGTTTTATATTCACTCCGTTTCTTAAAATATTTCCTCTTTCAATTTTTTCACTTTCCTCAAAACACTTTCACTTTCTAATAAAAAAACCACTTTTACACCAATTTTTTCTTACCCTACCTATCACATCATACTTTTTCACTAACAATCTATCCATCATATCTTACTTTTACCTAGACCTGGCAAAAAATGACCCGATCGATTTTTGACCCGAGACCTGACCCGAAAATACTGGGTTTTGAACAAAGGTTTTGCTGACCGAACTCGAAGTTGACCGAACCCAAAATGACCCGCTAAAAATGGGTCAAACCCACCGAATCCGAACCCGACCCGGCCGACCCACTAATCTTAGATTTTTCCATAATCATACATTTTAATATGAAATATAGTGTTATAAAAATAAGATTATAATTATATTTCTTTGCTTACTACTCATTTTTTGTGTATAGATTTATACAATCATAACAAATTTTAATGATGTCGCATAATTATCTTACATTTTTTCAAAATTTCTACATATTTAATTTTTTTATTCGTAATATTGACACTAAGTCATAAAATTTGCTTAAAATTTCAAAAAAATAAATGAAACTCATAACCCGTTGGGTCAACCCGAACCCAATGACACTGGGTCATGAACATGTAGTTATCAACCCGAACTCGAACTTATCCAAACCCGAAGTAACCCGAACCCAAGGTGACTGAACCCGACTTGACCGACCAATTTGCCAGGTCTACTTTTACCCATCACATTAAGGGCAAAATTGGAGAGTCAACTACAAATATATACTCCTTATTTCACCCATTAGTCAAAATATGAACCTTTTTTAGAACAGAGGGAGTAATATTCTCCTTTTGGATTCCAATACCAGATTTTTAAATTAAATACTCCATCTGTCCCAAAGAAAGAAAGATTCCACCTTTTAACTTCGCACGGAGATTAAGAAAAATGAAATTCCTTGATTGAAAGTGATGTAGACGAGAGAGAAATTATAAAGACCACAGATTTCTTATCAAAAGTGGAGAGTGGAACCATTTTTTGGGACGAACATAAAAAGGAAATGTGCAACCTTTAATGGGACGGAGGGAGTAGTATGTTAGGGACCTGAAGAGATGTCTGACATAGATGAAGAACCCTTATCTTGGCCGTGTCTAAAAGAATGCAAGAGCATATGATCCTCTAGTCCAAGACTAATTAGGAAGATTTGTTTAATTGCTTTGACAAGGATAGTTTTATTAATGATTGTGTGTATAAATAGGCACAGCCTTATGTGAAATCTACCATAATCATACTAGGAAACAACAATCCTTATTTAGGTATATTAGCTAAAATAGAACAAGACTAGTACTAGGAAACTGTTAATATTCCTAATAATAATAGTACTCCTCCATCCCAAAAAGAACTTAATTTTGCAGCTTATGATGCTGGAGTGAAGTTATTTTCAATTCACCTTATTTCAACATCGGTGTAAAATATAAATTACTACGGAATATTTATATACTCTCTCCATTCCTCTAGATTCTTCCAAGTTACTATTCACAGGGTCAAACTTTATTCATTTTCTTTACGTGTTTTCTTTGATTATTTGATAAAATAGTCTTTGTAGATCTTTTGATGTAGTTTTTAAATTTATAATTTATATTTTTTTAATTCTACACCAATTTTCATGTAAAATGAATTAAAAATAACTTCAGTCAAACATCATAACGCGAACCGGGAAGAAACTAGAGGCAGGGAGAGAGTATTTAAGAACAACATCAAATGTTACATAAAACAAGAGGTCGCATGAGTATCTTGTTTTAGTAAACGATCAATGAAAGTATGGAAGGAAAGAAATATGGGTTGACCCTATGATTATCTCGTTCCATTGCTCTATAAGTTGGGCTGTGCTATGCCTTTCATCAACCACTTCTTTAGATGTCTTTCGAACCACACAAGCAATAGATTTTAGTTGGGGTCGAGTGAATTGAAAATAAGCAAGCTTCCTTTGTGCATACAATAGGTTGGGAATGCAGAAGGTGGCCTCCCCTTTCTTCTTGGTTATGTGTCTCTTATGCATCAAGGTAGGAGCCTAGGGTTAGGGTTCCTTAGCGGGCTACTTGTGTGGACCGGCCAATATCTTTAGTTAGGCCCAAGGGATATTATCCCATCACAAGCCCCCCAGTTTTTGAGTGAACGCGAAGTGTTGACTGAGAAACTATAATTTATTGTCGTCTCTGTGAATTTCTTCAATCGACACTCTCTTACGCCAGAATCCCTTGAAGCTTCTTGCTAGTGTAGGCATAAATCTTGGCTCCTCAAGTTTCTCTTCTTTTAGTACCTAAAACATTTAAAAACATCATACTTGCCTCGTCGAGCGACTACGAAGTCCATGGGACGGCTTCGTTGCGTTTCGAGGAGAGGACTTAGGAACCTCAAAAGATGAGGGATTTGGTTGCCTCGTGAGGTGTTTTAAGGTCGTCCTCGGGAGAGGACTTTTGTGCCTCGTAGGATGAGGTCTTAATTGAAGCCTCGTGAGGTGGTTTTGGGCCGACCTCGGGAGAGGATTTTTGTAAATATCTCTTGGGGAGGTTGTATTTGTGAAAATTTGGTTGGGTGCCACTTTTGTCGGCTTAAATAGGCTTTGCCTATTGTTTTATTTGTTGCATCAATGGCTTGGAAGAACGCACCCACTCATCCCAGGGTGTGAACTCTTAGGACTTAGCCAATTTTAGCGTTTCCATAGTGATTTTCATGAGGTGCGCTTTTGGCGTCGCCCCGAAGGTTTGAGTTCATTATGACGTGACTCCTTTGTTTGGAAGTTTGAACATCAAACTCTAATAGACCGAAGATTTTATAACGCAAAGTTTGGTACGGGCCTCGGTTCAATCGTCTTCGGTTATTTTGGGTTTGTTTTGTCCCGTGAGCATGTGGCTCAAACAAGTCTCTCACTCATTAGCACACCGCTCTAACGGTATCTCTCTCTCTCCTCTTCACTTGTGCCACTATCGGGCTTGTCCTAGAAACGACAAAGCGAAATTTAGAGAGTATGGAGCTAAGCCTGTGGTGACGGCATGCTGGTGACCCACACCCTTTTATTTTCTCTTGCGACAAAATTCGGTTAAATAAAACTTTAGCCTAAGCCCATTGGGAATTCTTTTCTCCTGAATGGCCCATTAAGCTTTGCAATACAGAGTATCAACAACTCTAAGCCCCAACACATCTCAGCATGAGTCAATTTCAAGACTTAGGGGCTGTTTGACAACTTCTGAATAGGTAAGTGCTGAACCAGTAAGAGGTAAGTGCTGAACCAGTAAGAGGTCTGAACCATGAAGAGCTAGTATATTGCTTAACTATTCAGAGGCAAATGTCTGATCAATTCAGATAAGAGGTCTTAACCATTCAGACCTGTACAATACTTAACCATTCAGAGGCAAATGTCTGAACCATTCAGACATCTGAACCATTAAGAGGCTGAAACAAACAGTCTGAACCATTAAGCGCTGAACCATTCAGACATCTGAACCATTAAGAGGCTGAACCAAACAGCCCCTTACTCTCCAACTTCTCGCAGCAGCGATCAATGGCACCACCGGTGATATATAGCTCAACAAAATTTGGTCTTCAACAGTGGCAATTGGAGCCCAGTGACCAGCAGTGTTTCACGACAAAGCGACCCGCAGTGAGGCAACCAGCTGCGGTCAGCGGTGAGGCGACCAACGGCAATTAGCGGTGAGGCGACTCACAACGGTCAGCTTTGAGGCGACTAGATTTGGTCCATGGTTAAGTGATCAGTGGTGTGGAGTGCAGGAGTGATACGGCAGGTGCATTCCCTTGGATCTATTGGTCACGAGAAGTACTTTTGCGATTGAGACTCTTCGCTAGGTCCGGCCGTCATCCAGAGTTGGTACTGGGGCATGGAAAAGAGACGGGCTAGTGAAAAGAGTTCCGATCTGTGATGGGATCGAGCGATAGCTCTGATATGAGCATAGTTATGAATGGCGTTTGCCATGCTCGCCTATGGCGCTTATGGCGTTGTGGCGAGGCTAAAACGCCTGGTTTGGGCTGTGCATGGCGTTGTTCTTGAGGCGATGAAAGGCGGTCGCCATTTGGCGAGCGCTTATGTCGCCATTCAGATATGTTCGAATGGCTTAATTAAATTGGGCTTAAGCCCGTTTGGAATTAAATGATTTGATCCATTACCTTAAGTCCGTTCATCAATTACCTTAATCGATCTTATCCCCTTCCAATCTTCCGTCTTTCATCGCCGATCCTCTCCTCCCGATTCCCTGTCAAAATCGATTCTGCTCCCTCTCTCTGAAGTCGACTCTCCTCCTTCTCTCTGAAGTAGCAATTTCGACTCTGCTCCCTGTCTCAGAAGTCGCAACCTCCCAGCAATTCACCTTGGTCAACTCGCAGCAGATTCAGGTCAGGATATTATTATTCTTTTTTTAGTTTGTGTTATATTCAGTTAATACTTAATAAATATTAATAGTTACAATTCTTTTAGTCTAGTAGTTACCATTATATATTCAATTTGTGTATTATTCTTTCAATTTAAAAAAATACTGATTTTTTTCTTTTAAAATATTAATATTATTTATTGTGTATTTTCATTTAATAGATATTAATTGTATTTAATAATTAGACACACACACACACACACACACATATATATTCGCTTTTTTTGGTTTGCCATTTGACCGCCCGCCACTCGCCACGCCACGCCACTCGGCACAAAAAACAGCCGCTCGCCCGCCACTCGCCACTCGCCATTCATAACTATGAATATGAGGCGAAGCAACAACCTTGTGGTGGCTTCTGCAAATGTGGCTGCGAACTCAATCCCTAGAGGCGACGAGCTTGGGCGACCAGCAGTGCAATGCCACTCCCACTAGAGGCGACGAGCCTCAATAGCCATGGACTGCGAGCTTCGTCGATCAACAGTAATGGGGTGCATTCTCGGACGGCTAGGCGACCAGCAACCATGACTCACCAATCCGTGGCGGGGTGACCCATGGACAAGGCAACCCACGGCGGTAATCATTGAGGCGACCCACGACGGTCAGGGATGAGCGGACCCACGGTGGAATCTGGTAAGGTCATTGTCTAGATCTGCTGCTCTCCTCCATATCCTTGCTAATCTGGTCACCAAGACAAAACCAAGGAGTGGGAAGCAACTTTGGTTGTATATCCGGCTAGGAACCTTGGCACAGATATCTGTCTCGAAGGAGGAACTCAACAGTTTCTTTAAATGTATCTATTTTTAGAGAAGAGTAATGCTCCTAACCCGTGAATGGTCAACGACAGAGCAAGAACAAGGCGACCCGCGGCGGTCAGCGACTCACGCGGTCAGAGATAGAGCGACCTGCGAACGGTCAGCGACAGAGCGACCTGCAACGGTCAGCAACAAGGCGACCCGTGGCGGTCAGCGACGAGGCGACCCGCGGCGGTCAGCGACGAGGCGACCCGCGGCGGTCAACGACGAGGCGACCCGCGGCGGTCAGCAACGAGGCGACCCGCGGCGGTCAGCGACGAGGCGACCCGCTGCGGTCAGCGTCGAGGCGACCCGCAGCAGTCAGCGACGAGGCGACCCGCGGCAGTCAGCGTCGAGGCTACCCGCGGCAGTGAGCGTCGAGGCGACCCCCAGCGGTCAGCGACGAGGCGACCCGCGGCGGTCAGCGTGGAGGCCACCCACGACGGTCAGCGTCGAGGCGACCCGCGGCGGTCAATGACGAGGCGACCAGCGGCGGCTTTGACGAGAGGAGGCTGAGGCGGTTCGAGGACGATGGCGAACAACCTGCCATGGTCTCTCTCCCCCTTTTTTGAACCAACGGCGGGCTTGGTCGCCCTCACAGTGGCTGTGAGCCCTGGGTGGCGCGACTGACTGCACGTGAAGCCCCACCCCCCGATGCAATTACTACTCTGGATCTGAATTGAAACCTTGAACTGCAGCAGACAGCGGGAGAGACGCGATCTCCCCAGCGGTTGCGATCTGGGACCCCGACGGCGGTCAGCGGTGGGGTGACCTACAACGAAATCCGGCGAGGTTGTTCCCTAGATCTACTCCTCCTCTGGTCCTGGTGAACTCCGGTCATCAACACAGCACCAAGGTTCAGCGAATACATCTGTAGTTGGATCCGGACGAGAGACCTTGGGACAGAGATTTGGATCTATATTTCTTTTTCTTTTTTTAGAGAAGTAATGCTTGTAACCCGTCAGACACAGAGGATATCCCTTGAGCATTATTTCTTCTCTCAATGAGAGCACCATTTGATAGACCAAAACCCCTCGGGTGTGTATTATTTGGTCTATATGATATGTGTATAAAATATAGAAAATATATAAACAAGAATATAAAAAATAGACTTTGATGTGGAAACCAAATCGATGAAAACCACGGGCCTTTTTCAGCGGTACCATGCCAATGAGGATGTTTTATTATATATCGAGGGTATATTTGTACAGCATATTAGTGTGATAGCCATTGATGGAGCTCGAAGCTCCATCGAGAAGGAGAAGAAGAACGGGGTGAATACAATAGATTGGGGATGTAGAAGGTGGCCTCCGCTTTCTTCTTGGTTATGTGTCTCTTATATAGCATCAAGGTAGGAGCCTAGGGTTAGGGTTTCCTAGCGGGCTCCTTGCGTGGACCGGCCCAATATCTTTAGTTAGGCCCAAGGAATATTATCCCATCAATATATATATATATATATATATATATATATATATATATATATATATGGGATTGACTCCAGTGAGATGACACCTTACGGTGAGATGACATGCTTCGGCCAGATGACGCAAATCTCACCACACTACTCTAGAAAGCTCACCAATGGACAATGCAAAGCTCACCTGGAAATAAAACAAAGCTCACCACTTTGAACACTAAAACTCACTTTTTTTTAAATTTTGAAAATTAAAAAATTAATTAAAAATAAAATAGCAACACCGGTGGATCTGATGCATCGTGTGGCTCAGATTGCATCCTGCGCTCAGATTTTGAGGTAGTGCATTTTCAAAGGATTATGGTGCATTTCGACATGATGCATTTTCAAACCATTTTGGTGCACCTAATTTTGATGCAATCCTGACCCTTTGATCTCACAATCTAAAGCATCAGATTCATTCTCATTTCTCTCCTAAGATCGCATTCTCACCAGAACCAAAATCTATATATATATATATATATATATATATATATATATATATATATTTAGTGTAGCCCAATTATTTTGAAAGCCTAATTTAAAATGTTTAAAAAGATTTGACTTCAACTTGTGATCCACTTGTGATGTGTGTGTGTGTGTGTGTGTATGTATGTACACGCACACACACACACACATATATATAGGTCGCTTAGGCGATATGAAGGTATGTTTGCGCCTTACAAACTATGGTGGTAGTTGGTCGTTCGTTTGGGTTCCTTAGATGGATCGTTGATATTGTGCTCACATGTGTTTCGAAATGAAGAAAAAGTACGTTGCACAGATCCATTAATAATTAAATATTGTGCATAACATAATTTTGAAAAATTGCCCAAAAAAACAGGCTTCAAAGACAAAAAATAAAAAATGTATACAAAACTTGGTTAGTTTTAAGAAAAAAGGAAATTCACAAAATATTCCCATTAAGTTGACTTTTATCCCCCCACACCCAAAAAAAATTAAACCATTAATATAAAAATTGAAAAGAAAACTTACCGTGAACTAGGGGTGAAATACTTAAAAACAAAAAGACGGAGAACATACCACCTGAAGAGATCCGGCAGAGCAGATATCAACAGTCGTAGCTTGTTACGTTGACCAACCTTGAGACTGATCATTTTTTGCAGGCAATACCACTCCATTGGAAGATTTAAATTTCCTCTTTCAATCCCACCAAGACTCAACACCACCTAGGAAAACTAGTGACATCCTCCAATCATCATTGAGAAGGGTTGATAAAAATATTTCCTTCAACTGATGGAATTCAAAAGAGAGTGCTCTAATCTTCCTTTGATTTGCTAAGGTTGCTTTGTTTGCTTGAGTCATGAGAATCCTGAGATAGAGTTTGCATTGTTGTAGATCATGGTCTGTGTTTTTTTTATATTTCTTGGCATTGCTCTTTTCTTTCTTTTGTTCTTGATCTTGTTCTCAAATATGAATTCCTTAGCTGTTCAAACTCGTGTATTGGAATATCGGTTAAAGATGAATAACTCAAAAATATCAATTGGCTGGTTTCTTTGGAAAGTCCAGGCTGATCTTAACTTTTAATTCATGATCTTCTGGATCAGTTCCTTTTGTATGGTAGTCAATCAATGGCAAGTCCGGCTCTATGAGATAATGTCTTCCTGCCGTTGCTAAAGCTATCTCCTTGAGCTTTCAATAATGAAAGAAGTGTCGTCATTTGAACTACATTAGAGTTGTAGAAGGTAATACTAGCCTTTTGGTTTAATGTGGGACAATTGATCCTCTTGCCCGAGCTTTCTGAAGACTGAAGCTTATACTTTTCTGTTCTGACCCTTCTGATGTTTGAACCCTTTGATCTGATTGAGCTTTTTTTCTATTTGATCCTTTTTTATTCTTAATGCTTGCTGATGTATCAGTGTTATGATCTAACAAGCTTGGTGTTCTGCTAGCTTCCTGCTATGTGAGTTGTCTTAAAACTCCTTAGCCTTCTGGTAAACTCTAGTGTTCTGATAAATTTAGTGTTCTGCATTCTGGCTAAATAATCTTTATCCATAACTACTGCCCTTTTTTTCAGCAGGATGTTTCTAGAAACAAATTACATAATTTGAGATTTCTATAAATGAGTCATGTACATACTACAAATATCATCATCAAAACATATTACAATAATACACAAATTGCTTTTTTGAGTTAGTAATCTTTTGAACTGCTACAAGTCTTGCAACGTTTTTTCTTCCAACATATATGCTATAATTGCCTCTTTGTTAGGTTAATGGTTGTGTCCCTACTTTTATAGATCGGATATGACCAAGGATCAAATGCTTGTAGATCTTGCATTTAAGACAAAAATTTTGCTATGGAGTGGGATTGTATTCAGCTCAGTTGCAATTGGTATCCTAAGCTATGCCGCTGTAAGGTACATGAATGCAATGTTACCTCTGCGCTTCCCTTGCTGTTCTTTAAATTTCTGTTGGGTTTCATACTACTTATTGCTTTGAAGGAAAGTGAATGTATTGATTTTTCAACTGCATAAGACATCAAACAAAAAAGTGATTTCTTATTCATAGTGTCTGCTTGGTAGGGATTATTCGAGAGCTTATAACTTATTTTGAACTCCAAGGATGAAAGAAATTGTTTGTTCTGTATGGATGAATAATTAAGTAAATAAAATAAGCTTTTTATTGAAAAGCTTTCTATATCTTTAATTCCTTCCACTATTCACCCTCTTCTTTTCCAAGACACAAAGTTTTTGTCTCCATCTTTTATTCATGTAGAAATGTGCTTTTTGATCTTGGAAAAATTCATGTCAATACTCCCAGATATATGAGATTTTACTGAAATCTTCAAGATTGCATAATTATCATGAAAACTCCTAGAATTTAATACTTTAACAATAATACTCCAAGATTGCATATTGATGTACACCTAAATTATCGGGAAGTTCTTTTGGAGACTTGTAGTGTTATTGTAAGAATATTTAATTCCTGAGAGCATTGGTGATAATTATGAAATCTTAGAATATTCGTGTAAAATCTCGAACCTCTAGGAGTATTGACGTGATTTTTTCCTTTGATCTTTCCAAACACATCACTCCCAATTACTAATTATGCTAACCAATTCTATCATATTCACACCTTGTGAATTTCAGCTTCTAGCTATTAGCCTTTTTCAGTTTTCACTTTTCAGCAAACTTTTCAGATCAGTGTTCCAAATAGACCAATAGTCACATCTCAACAGCACATCCATGTTTAAACTTTAAAATTATTTCAGGAATTGGAACAGATGGAAAGTATGGAGACAGCAGAGGCAGTCTCGATCTCAACAGCAGAATATTGATTCGGATCCTCAACTTGCAGGAGATGAGGAAACTGATGATGTTCCGGATGGTCAGCTGTGTGTCATTTGTCTTACAAGAAGGAGACTTTCTGTTTTCGTGCCATGTGGGCATCTTGCGTGTTGCCAACAGTGTGCCTTGTTAGTTGTACGGGAGTCATCACCCAAGTGTCCAGTTTGTAGGCAGGCCATTACAAATGCGGTGAGGATGTACGATTCTTGATTGCGACTGACACGTATGCTTTTTGGTAACTAGCACACTACTGCCTAATGTCTATCCATTTAAAAAAAATAGAGTTTAGATTTTACAAAATAGTATCACTGGTTCGGTGCTCGATCAATTCTGAAAATTAGCCATTTCACCAGGTTATTTGTACTAATTTGAGGCTAATAATCTGATACAAATTGCTTGTGTATATATGGTTTTCCCAAGGTGGGAATTCTATAATCAGGAGCCACGTAACTCTTAGATCATATACCTTGTGAAGTTTCAGGAACTGTTTTTTCCATAGTTTTTAGAACCGAACCGGTGATCGAACCGATCAAGGCACTGGTTCACTGGTTTATTGGTTGAACCAGTGGTTCAAACATTTTTAATAAATAGATAAATATATATAAAGAAATAAATATTATATATATATATATATATATATATATATATATATATATATATATATATATATATATATATATGGGATTGACTCCAGTGAGATGACACCTTACGGTGAGATGACATGCTTCGGTCAGGTGACGCAAATCTCACCACACTACTCTAGAAAGCTCACCAATGGACAATGCAAAGCTCACCTGGAAATAAAACAAAGCTCACCACTTTGAACACTAAAACTCACTTTTTTTTAAATTTTGAAAATTAAAAAATTAATTAAAAATAAAATAGCAACACCGGTTAACGGCGGCGGCTGGAGGTGGAGCATCGGAGGCGCTGGAGTCCGGCGGCGGCGACTGGCTGTGGCGGCCGGAGTCCGGCGACGGCGACTGGCGGTGGCTGCCAGAGTTTGGCGACGCGGCCGGCAGTGGCAGCCGGCGGTGGCTGCCGTAGTCCGGCGACGGAGGGGGCCGACATCGGCGGCAGGCAATGGCGGTCAATGCTGACGGTCAACAGTCAAAGTCCAGTCAGCACCCCTTCCTTTGTTTTTATTTTTTCAAAAAAAATTCAAAGTATTGAAAAAATATGGTGATCTTTGCCTTATAGTTTGGTGAGCGTTGTCTTTAGTGAGCTTTGTAGTGGCCAGTGGTGAGTTTTGTGTCATCTGACCGAAGCATGTCATCTCACCTTAAGGTGTCATCTCACTAGAGTCAATCTATATATATATATATATATATATATATATATATATATATATATATATATATATATATATATATATATATATATATCACACACCGACATGCATTGTGGCATTAAATAAAAAAAAACTAATATGAGTAAATTAAAAAATATTTCTTTTGTTTATAAATAAAGAATTAATGTTGCACTAAATTTATAATTTAACTTAATTTACTTTAGTTGTGTCATTCAATAAAAAATAGTTTTTACTTGTTTAAAAGAGCTTATAAATAAAAAGTGATTTGAATTTTTTTTAAACATTTTACCTAGTATCTAAAAATATATATAAAATATTTGTGTGATATGCACTCCATATCAATTACATCAATGAGTTTTGAATTTTAGTTTAAAAACTATATACTCCATCGTAGAGGAGATGGTTCGTAGTGGCCCCTTTCTCCCGTGCAATCTAGTGTTTGAATCCCGGGTTCGTGTTTTTATAAAAAATCTTCAATGAAGAATTTGAAAACCGGTTCGGGCGGTAAAAATCGGCCGGTTTTCTCTGGTTTACCCTAGTTCACCGTGGAATGCGGTCTGATTGCCTGGACCGGACCTGTTTGGTGTACGGCTTACCGGTTCTCGGTCTGAACTGGCCGGTCCGGTCCGATTTTTAAAACTATGGTTTTTTCATTGAATTCTAATGCCTCTGTTTGATCGTTGCAGTAAATTTCTTCCCCAAGTTTTCATTAGAAATCATCAGATGCGTTGTATAAATACGGAGTATTAAAACAAAATTCATTTTAGGTTTCAAAAAGTTAAGTTAAAAAGAGAAGGGTTGAGGGTGAAAAAGTATCATGCTCTAAATGTGTGCATCAAGTTCGCACCACCTCATTTTTCGAAGTTCACAAACGTGTTATTTGTGATTTTGTGGTGGTGCCCCACATGAGTTTTGTCCATGAAGTGAAAAAATTCGGTGGTGTGAAATTGGTATCCAAATAGTTTAATCAACTAAAAAATAGCACTCCCTATTTTGCTTTAAACTTAATCACAGACAGCAATACAAAGTACTCCAACGTTAAAAACAAATTGATAGAGCAATAGACCCACCACCCTCAAAATCTATATCAGATATTAATAGCTTGATACAGTTGTACGGAGTTTGTTAGTAGTTGTTACATGGTTGTTAGAAATTGATAGTTTGTTAGTTGAGGTGGCAGGGCAATGTCACCACAATTCCTGATGATTTTTAATGAAATGGGTAGGCATTGCTAGCCTACATATGGTGGAGAAGGCTAAAAATTGGGTTACTAGCTACATGTCTTTTAGAAAGTATGTTGCTTGGCATGAATTCATCATCCATAAGAGTCATTCATATGAGTGCCAGATCTAGAGATGAGATGCGGCATAATGTTTTAGAATAGTTTAAAAGGCTAGAACAAAAAAAATTACTTGAAGTTTACATCGATGAATTTGAGGATATGAGGTCAGTGTTGAATCATAGCCATTTTCCTAATTCTTTCATTCTGTATTCTTTTATCGGTGGATTGAAGTCTTTCGTTAAACTGTTTGCTAAAGCATTTAAATCTAGTAGTATAGCCCAAGCAATTAAATATGCTAGGTTAAAGGAGCCATTGGAAGTGCAAGGTTCAAGGTTCTCTAAATTCAATCCCTCTTGCAACCATAAATTTTTTGGGGAAGGCTTCAAAGCCTTCACAAACAATTCATCAAAACCTGCTCTGTTGCCTACTCCTCGAGTTAAACCTGCCAGTTTCCAAAAATACACTTGCCACTCACTCTGGCCTAACAAAAACTTTAAGTACATACCTACTGATATGAGGGCTAAAAAAATAGCCAAAGGATTGTGCTACTATTGTGATCAACCTTTCGAGGAGGGGCACAAGTGCATTTTTAAAGAGCAATAGACGTTTACAGTTGAAGTTCCTGTTGAGGAAGCCTATTTGGAAAATCATTAAGTGAGAAGGGAGAAAGTTTTGTTACTTGCAATTCTGTACAAGCTCTAACTAGAGGGCACAATTACCAGAAAATGAGGATAATGGAGATGGTTGGTTGGAGGCCCATTCACATATTGGTTGACTCCGAAAGTTCTCATAATTTGCTGAATTTTGACACTACAATAAGTTCCAGGCAGTGACAGTGGCAGATGGGAATAAAATCACTTGTCAATATGCTTGTGCAAATGCAAGAGAGAGAATTCACCAAAGATGTCTTATTGATTTCACTAGGCAGTTTTGACATGGTTTTAGAAATCCAAAGGCTGGAAACATTAAGACCAATCTATTGGGATTTCAAGGAAATGACTATGAAATTTGACTTGAAGGAAGGCTCATTCTTTTTGAAAGGAATGGTGAACAGGATATTGAAGGTGGTGGAAGGGACTCCAGGTCCAAAGGTGTATAACAATTCTATTCAGTTTTGCCTACTGCAATATTTACCTGCAATATTTACCGAGATTGACAAAGACATCTCTAGCATGATACAATATGGTGAAACCACATGGCAGATTGTTCTGGATATGAAATTGGAAGAATTTCAGATAGACTCCATTATGCTCTTTGAAGATCCCACAGAGTTGCCACCTTATAGAGGGGTCTTTGATCACATGATTCTTTTGGAACTAGAGGCAAGGCCTGCCAATATCAGACCTTACAAGTATCCTTTGAAACAAAGAGATGTCATTGAGAAGTTGGTGCAAGAGATGCTAAACAGAGGAATTATTTAACATAATGCTAGCCCTTTTGCTTCACATGTGGTCTAGTGGGAAAAAAAGATGGTACATGGAGGTTGTGCATAGATTTTAGAGAGTTGAACAACAAAGCTATAAAGAATAGATTTTCTATTCCTATAGTGGAAGAATTGATAGATGAGCTAGCTGGGGTATTAGTGTTTGCTAAGCTGGACTTAAGGGCAAGATACCATCAATTGAGAATCCATCCATCATACAAGACAACCTTTAAGATTCACACAGGGCATCTTAAGTTTTAGTAATGCAAATGCCTCTGCTTCATTTCAAGGGTGGATGAAATAAGTATATAAACCCCTGCTGAGGGAATTAGTTCTAGTCTTCTTTGATGACATACTTGTCTATAGGAAAACTAAGGAAGAACATTGGAATCATCTGAGACAAGTTTTTGGACTGATGAAGCATAACAAGAAGTATGCCAAACTCAATAAATGTATATTTCCAAGTGACAAGTTAGAGTACTTGGTGAATTTCAATTCTGCAAAAGGGGTTGAAACAGATCCAAGTAAAATCAATGTTATTTCATGTTGGCCAATCCCTACAACAGCAAGAGAACTGAAAAGGTTCCTAGGGCTAGCTAGCTATTATAGGAGATTTATCAAAGGTTATGCCATGTTCAACAAACCTCTAACTGACCTCTTAAAAAAGGGTGCATATCAATGTAGGGGTGTTCATCGGTCCAAGACCAGACCGGACCGAAGACCAAAATTGGAAAAAAATAGGACCGAAGACCAAAATTGGAAAAAAATAGGACCGAAGACCGGACCGATTCTCAGTCGGTCTTGGACCAGTCCAGACCGAAATCTCTTAGACCGAACCCGAAAAGACCAATTGGACCGAATTTTTTTTAGTTGAATTTTTTTATATCTTATACAACCAAAACACTACAAAATGTAATTCCATAAAAGAAATACTCCCTCCGTCCGGAAATGATGTTCCCATTGTACATTTTTTTCCGTCCGGGAATGATGTTCCCATTCTTATTTTTTTTCTTTATTCTTCCAAAATTACCCTCATCTTCCTTCCTTTCTTCTTTTCTTCCTTTCTTTTTTCCTTCCTTTCATTCCTTCTTCCGCCACTTTTTTTCCTTCTTTTCTTCCTTTCCCAACCCGCCACCTTCTTCCTTTCTACCTCCTTCTCTTCTCTCCTCCTCCTCTTCCTCCTTCTCTTTTCTTTCTCCCTCGTTTTCTTTCTTCTTCTTTACCCCCTTCTAGATCTGTGTATAGCGGCGGTGGCGGAGATGGTGACGGCGGCGGTGTCAGCGATGGTGACGGCGGCGGTGTCGGCGATGGTGACGGCGGCGGTAGCTGTAATGGTGAGTCTAGATCTATCTTCACTTCTCCTTTTTTCCCCTTATTCTTTCTTTTAGATCTATCTTTTAGATCTATCTTTTCCTCCACTTTTTTCTTTCTTTCCCTTTTCTCTCTCTCCGGCGTTGTTTGCGGCTATGGGAGATGGAGGTGGGGGCTGGCGGAGATGATGGGACTGACGGCGGCGGTGGGAGGTTGGGTGGTGGTGGGCTGGCGGCGGTGGTGGGAGGTGGGGCTGTTGGCGGTAGGGTGTCACTGGAGGTGGGAGGTGGGCATGGGTGCTAGTGGGAGGTGGGCTGTGGTCAGCCTCAAAGTGTAAGGGCATTTTAGTCCTTTCAAGCAATTAGTCAATGCCTCTTAAAATTGAGGAAAATTCAAAGTGGGAACATCATTTCCAGACGGAGGGAGTAGTAAGTAGATCCATTCACCATCTTACTATATACAATGCTAGGATGCACTTTTGAACAGTGTTCCCGCCTATTTCATTGGGCTATATTGGGCCGATTCGGGCTGGGTCACAATTGGCTGGTGGGTCGGGTTTTGAGGCTGCCATTGGGACGGGTTTTGAGGCTGCAATTAATGAGTTGTCATATCAGTCTTTTTGAAATAATTAAAGTGGTGCACTCCTTCATAAAGTAAATTAAAGTGTTGCGTGGCTCCGTAAAGTATATTAAAGTATATTAAAGTGGTACGTGGCTCCATAAAATTACTTTATATCAATTCAATTTTAGTGGTTCCATAGAGTTGGATTGAGGAAAGAGAAAATTGAGTGGCTCCATAAAATAAATTTGAAAAAAGTATTTTATGTCAAATCCATCAATTATAAAGATTTTTAATATCTAACCATTTAATGAATGGTTGAAGAGATCATGAAGCATGTACTATATATACTCAACATAATAAACTTCATTCCTAAAAAAACTTCTCAAATATGGAGTAGGCTATAAAATCATCAAATGTCTCAATATTCTTCCTTAAGCATGTGGTCTCCTCTTAATGGGTGGAACAATGAAAATTTCAGTTCCAAACGTAGGTCTCCTCTTAGATTGATTAATGTAAGATGGGTTCTTTGGAGTTTGGACTGCAATTTCATTTTCTGCAAAATTTATTTTAATATCATTATATATATATATATATATATATCTAGATTTTGGTTCTGGTGAGAATGCAATCTTAGGAGAGAAATGAGAATGAATCTGGTGCTTTAGATTGTGAGATCTAAGGGTCAGGATTGCATCAAAATTAGATGCACCAAAATGGTTTGAAAATGCGTCACGTCGAAATGCATCAAAATCCTTTGAAAATGCACCATCTCCAAATCTCAGCTCAGAATGCAATTTGAGCCACACGATGCATCACATCCAAGGACTTGATTTTATTCTCATTTCTCTCCACAAGGTGCATTCCCACAAGAACCGGCCCATATATATATATATGTGTGTGTGTGTGTGTGTGTGTGTGTGTATATATATATGTATGTATGTATGTATATGTATGTATATATATGCTCCTTTAATTAATCTCCTCAAATATATAACATTAAAAGTTATTTTTTTAATTTTTGTGGAATGAACAACTTGATAAAGTAGTACACCGAAGGGAAAAATTGAATTTGAAATGGGAAATGAATGTGAAAGTGTGTGCAGTGTGATGAACATGATAGGTAGTTGGGTCACCAGGGCTTTCAAGTAATATTAAATTAAATTAAATTGTGTAAATTAAAAAGAAAAAAAAAGAAAAGAAGTGAAAATTAAATAAACCCCAGAGACAAATCGATGAGCACAAGGAAGAAAATTCAAGAAACACTCCCACCACACATTTCCACTATATACTTATGTGGGCTTTTTATTCTATTTTTTATTCCAAAATAATTTTTTTACATCTGTTTTATCAAAATATAATATATATAAAGATAAAGAGAGAAAGATCCATAAAAATGAAAATCTTACATCAATAAACAAAGATCCATCGAAAATCATCTCGGCTTTCCAGCGGCGTAGACACGGAGAGGGGAGACCGAGACATGTGACGGATTTCCGGCGTGGTAGGGACAGAGAGGGAGAGACCGAGACATGCGAAAGGCGGAAATGGAGCGAGTGAGCGAGTGAGATTCCGGTTTTGGACGGTTAGCTAGGGTTAGAAAATATATTTAGGTTTTATTATTGGGCTAGGTTGAAGAGTTGTAGTGGGCTGGGTTTATACAATTGGGCTGGTGGATTAGTTTACAATAATATTTTTGGTAAGGGACTTACATGGACTGATGGGTTTGAGTATATTCAATTCCGATTCAATTTAGCTCGGGTTTGGTTTTAATTTTGACGGGTCATTTTCGAATATTTAATTTTTCAATTCAAATTCAATTTAAGATTTAATCCGGTTGCGGTCAAATAGGACCATTTTTTTGTTATTTTATTTAACATGTTTAAAAACTTTTTTAATAAAATTCTAATAAAAATAATACTCTCTCCGTCCTGGAAAAATGGGAGTTTTGATTTTGTAGAGAGATTTAAGGAGAGTGTATTTTGGTATTGAATTTCCAAGAATGTCCTTTGATGTGATGGGTAAAAGTATGATTTGATGGATAAATTATTAATAAAAAGGTATGATGTGATAGTTAGGATATGAAAAAGTAAGGGGTAAAAGTGATTTTTTAATAGAAATGAGAAGTCTTTTTTGGGACGGATGAAAAAAACGGAGAAAGGTTTTCAGGGATGGAGGGAGTATATTTTTATAAAATATAAGTTACTGTATTTATTGCACAATTAAAGCATGAACTGAAACATTTGTGAGTTCATATTACAAGTGCAAGAGTAACCGAAACTCTGATTTTATGGAAAAGTATTAAAAATGTTTTAGCGTACGCGCTCATCTATCGTGCTTACAAATTGGTGACGTGAAATGAGGATTATTTTTTGTTTGTAATAATTGTGCAATAGTGACACCACTTGCACCGCGACGATCTGAACGGCTTAAAATTCCAAACAAAAAATATTTTAACGATCATTATATTCTTAATTGAAAATTTCACTATGATGCTTTTAAGCGTGAATGTTAGCTTTTTTTGTAAGGTACTAAAAATGTTGGAAAGTATTCTATATGTAATATATCCGGCATGCTCTTTTGATGAATTTTTAGAATGTTAACTATTTGTATGCCTATTATGATTATTATGAATGTTAATTTTTTGTTATGAAATTTCAAATTTGGAAAGATACATATTAACAATTTATCATTCTCTATGCTTGCAAGAAATGGACAACGTATTTTTTGTATTGTTAATTTTTTAAGTAAAACATCATACTCCCTTTGTCCCATTTTAAATCACTTCTTTTGTTATTTGTTCCTCCCAAAATAAATTGTGTGTTTTCTTATAATAATAAACTATTAAGGGTAAAATATCTTAAATTTAGAACGATAAATATTAATAATGTATAAAGAAGTGTTCCAAAACTTTTAACACTTCATATCGACTTTGGTCATTACTGTATAAAATTCACTTTTTTGGAGAATTATATTAAATTATGTACTCTTTCAGATTTTGTAACATTTTCCATTATTCTAAACATTCACTAATTATATGTAAATTAACAGTCCGTGCATCGCACGGGTACGAGTCTAGTTTGTGCAAAACAAAAAATCATGGGGAATTGGGGAGTAGGGTAGCAATTAATTTAAAAATAACAATTCAACTCAAATCTTCATGCTCTCATGGGGTTGTAGGGATGGACATGTATGAAACTGAAAAAATTGCACTTGGATAATAAAGTAGAGAGCAAAAAAACACATTTCATCCCTTTTGTAGCAAGCTTTTTCTCAATTGCACTTGGACCCATTACCCATGTAAACTGCAATGTAATACAAACTGCAAGGGATTATTAAAAGAAGAAAATATATTAAAAATCAGTTGTGCATCTTAAAAAAAAATCAGCTGTGCAGCTTAAAAATACTGCAGATAACACTCCAAACTCCAGTATTTGGTCCAATAAGTGCTGTCAATCACTCATGTAGCCTTCTTAAAAGTACATTGCTGTTTTTTTTAAACCATTGACATTGCTGATTTTTTGCAACTTAAAAATCAGAGAACTCTCAAATTATTTTTTAAAAAAATACAATGCTGTTTTTTTAAACCATTGACAATCAGGAATAATTGGAAACAAAGTCTATGAATAAAGTCGAAGAATAATACAATTTGGCTAAATCCTATTCCAAATTTAAAAGTTTCAAATGTTATTTGGAAACAAAGTCTAAGAATAATACAATTTGGCTAAGCCCTACAAATAGCATGGAAATAATTTAACAAGTAAAAAGCCAAAAACCTAATAGAGAAGGAGACTAGGGAGTAGGGATTAAAGAGAAGGAGACGACAGAGATGAGATGAGTCGTACCTGATTCAATTGGGATTGAGAGAGTCCGCGTCTCAGGCTCTCGGCGATTGAGTATTTCAGGCGAGGGATTCCGGATTCGCCGAGTCGGCGCTGGCCAGTGGCCGAGAGTCGCGACTGACGACTCTGCGAGGAGATTCGGCGCTGGCGAGTGGCGATAAAGAGGAAGGCTGACCGGCGAATCTCTGCTCTCGAACAAGGCAAATCGGCGATGGACGATGGTGAATTGGTGATAGCCGATAGGTCTTTACGGATAAGGTTGGGCCTGAGTGGTGATCATTGAACGGATCACTTAAAATTAGAAACAAGGAAGTTATCGGTCTATCTCGGTCGGAACCGAATGGCAGTTGGGTAATGACCGGACCGGACCGAAACTCGAAATTTAAAATACTTCGAACCGAAGATCGACCCGAAATCCTTTCGGTTCGGGTTCGGTCTGGACTGATCGGTCCGGTTCGGTCGATTTTTCCGGTCCAGACCTATATATGAACACCCCTATATCAATGGTCAGAGTCCACTCAGAAAGCCTTTGCATCTTTAAAGCTGGCCTTGAATTTAACACCTGTGCTAGCAATACCTGATTTTACTCGGTATTTGAGATTGAAACAGATACTTCTAAGGAAGGGATTGGGACAGTCCTTATCCAAAATAAAAATCCTTTGGCCTTCATTAGTAGGTTACTTGGGCCTAAATGGAAAAAGTTATCAATGTATGAGAATGAGTTATTGGTCATTGTTTTTGCAGTACAAAAGTGAGAGCAATACTTAATGGGTAATCACTTCATCATTAATACTGATAAAAAAAAGTTTAAAATGGCTTTTACAAAAAAAGGGTATTCACACCCTTTCAACAGTTTTGGATCTCTAAATTGTTTGGGCTTGACTATAAAAATGGCTACATAAGTGGAAAAGAAAATGTGGCTCCTGGTGCAGGGATAAAACTATTATTAATGGCCATTTCATTAGCATCTTTAGATTTGGGAAAACAAATCCAAGCCACTTACTCCCTTGATCTAAATTTGGAATATATCATCAAATCTCTTCAAACTCCCCAACCTGTGAAGCACCGTACATTTCAAGAGGGATACTTCACGAGAAAAGGGAAGTTAGAAATAGGCCCTAATAATTAGTTGAAGGGTGATATCATTAAATGGAACCATTCTAGTTCAGAAGGGGGTCACTCTAGGAGGGAAGGAACCTTGAGGAAGGTTAAAGTTTTATTCTACTGGAGCGGGATGACAAAAATAGTGAGTCACTTTGTAAGGAACTTTTTAGAATGTCAACTTCTAAATATTTGCTAGCACAGGACTGCTCCATCCATTACCCATTCTTGAGGGAGTTTGGCTAGACATTTCAATGGATTTCATTTATGGTCTTCCTAAATCTATGGTCAAGGAGGTAATCCTTGTTGTAGTGGACAGATTGAGCAAGTATGCTCATTTCATAGCCTTGAAGCATCCCTTCACAGCATTGGAGGTAGCCATGCCTACTTGGATAATGTCTTCAAACCGCATGGTTGACTAAGAGCATTGTTTGTGATAGAGAAGCCATATTCTTGAGTCAATTTTGACAAGGACTCTTCTCTCTATAGGGTAGTGAGCTTCACATATCATTTGCTTACCATCCACAAATGGATGGCTAGATTGAGGTGGTGAATATATTCCTAAAGATGTACCTGAGGTGCATGTGCGGAGAAAAGCCTAAAGGTTGGTGTATGTGGCTCCCCTTGGCTGAGTGGTGGTATAAAACACATTACCACACATCTACTCAATTAACCCCTAATGAAGGTGTAACACCCTACCTTTGATGACCCGAGTCATCCAGACCAGGGTGCTAGTAAAACTGGTTGCTTTGTAAAAATATGATTTATCAGAAGAAAAAAAATATACTACCTCCGTCCCACTGACTTTGTCCACTTTTGACTTTTGGAACTGTTCATCTAAGCACTTTGACTCATCAAATTCTCTCAATGTGTAAGCCTAAATATAGTCATGTGTGATCTTGTTTGATTTGTCTTAACATATATATTATTAATATATAATTTTTTAATATACAAATTACAAGATAAAATGGATTAAAGAAGTGCATTGGATGGTGTGCCAAAAGGTAAGTGGACAAAGCCAGTGGGACGGAGGGAGTATATATATTCTCTTTTTGATAACTAAAGAGAATAAAAAAAAAGTTTTCTGCGTAAACTTAAAGTAAAAACATCAACAGTTAATACAGACTATGAATCTAATTTAGAGGTGTATAGATTTCGATTTACGTTTGCTCATTTTGTCCTCAACAATAACTACTGGCCTACTAAGAAAAATATGATTTTTTTTATTTATTACCTATTATCATTACAATTAATACAAAATTTCATCTCAATATTAAATATATGAATTTTTTTAAACACCTTCCAAAATATTTGAAATCACAATCAAGTTAGCAACGGAGTAAATTCACAATTTCTTTTTTTTTTACAGATATAGTTTGGAACGTAACAATGATACCTACTAATCACAAGAATCTCTGCAAGTTAGATGTTAATTCAAAATAATTTAGACAATTTTAGTTCAAGTTAGATTTTGAATCTAACTAAATCCAAGCAAATTAAGTGCATTGATTTCTTTTACTTTTTCTTTTTACACAAAAAAATTTGTTAGAACTTACTTCTCGATAATTTCATGCTAAGAAAATAATCTTCTATGAAATTGTACAACCTTAAAGTTTTAGTGCTCAAAGTCCTTGTAATGTAATTGAAGTTTTAGAATAAAGTTTCTTATGCCCAATACACTCATGGAAAGTAATTAATTCTCGCCTTTTTATAGATATGTGTTTTTTTAATCCACCATTTTAGTAGTATTACATAAGTTTGTTAAGATTTCTTGAACCCCAAATGGACGTATTCATTCACATCCAATGTAACTTTCTCTCTGTTTCTCTTTTTTTAATATCAAAATGTGACTACATTTGCCACCAAATCTTTAAATTACTTGTAACCCACATTTAGCATATTATTCCAGCAACTTCCAATCAATTGACCTTTCACTCTTTTGTTAAGGTTAAAGTTTTGCATAGTCTTAAAGTTACAATATACGTTACGTTCTCGATAATTTTGTTTCATAATAAAAGTCGATTATTTTAATAGCATCTTATGGAAATACTATGTTTACCCCGTAATATTCTAATTTTATTTACAATTATTTCATGGTAAAGAAACATTTTTTTTAAATCGGGAGTAACATGTGGCAAGATGGTTGGTAATTATACTTAACCGTTTTTTTAACACTTTTTTTTTAACTAAGCAATCTAGTTTTACATGCACTCAATTACAAGAAGTAAAAGTAATTATATTTATTTGGATCATTCATGTGTTACGTTGTATGTACAATTGTACGAATATTTCAACCTACGAATTTAAGATTTACTAGCTTCACAAGAATAATGTATACAATGTATAAAGTAATCACTAAATTTGATTCTGAGATAGAACTAGTTGCAATATGATTTTCTTGTAGTCAACTACGTTATCACTTTTCGTTTACATTTTATTATAAATCAATAATTAATTTTAAACGCCAATATCCAATGTCTCTTCCCCTAATCATATAATTCCATTATATATATTTGTTTGTCAACTACGATGTACTCGATCATTTAAGGCTTACTCATGGCCAATTATAAGTAACAATATAATTGTAATTTGGTCTTTCAAATGTCATATATACATAAAACGTTTTAACCTACAAATTTAAAATTTTAATTTCTGAACCCCAATACAACGATGTACACAAGGTACATAATGATCATAATACAAGGTCCGACAACAAGACAATATTAAGCATATCCAATTATTTTCATGTATGTTTCATATATTTTTTAATTATGTACATGGAGTTAAAGTATTCTCTTATTAGTATTATTTCTTTTAAAGAATTAATCTACCATACAATATCTAATGACTTCCTATGGTCATTCCACGACACAATTCTTTAGTCATTAGTAAAAGAATATATATCTCACCAGACTAGGGGCGTCCCCCTTTTGTCCAGTCATAAAGATTCGGTGGTACCAAACCGAATCACATCTGTGCACAGATTGTAAGATCGGCACAAGTATGTCTCGCAACACATATACTGGCCTCTAACTTTTAATCTTATATATTACCATTGTCTATATCTAAATATAAATTCAGACTATTATCACAATATATAAATAATATGGTAACAGTGAAATAATATCCTCCATTGTTTTTTAATATTTCAACATTATCAAATCTAAGTATGTTACCCACTAATTTAAGACCAATATAAGATACCTGCCTGGAGGAAGCATAGAGACGGGGGAAAAACAATTATCTTTCAAAAACAATTTCTCATTCTGTTTTTTTGTTTTTCATAAAATGCTTTTTTTCAGAGTCAGGTCAGAAGACCACTTTATAAACCAATTCGCTCTGATACCAAAATGTAACACCCTACCCTGGTGAAGACCACTTTATATATATATATATGTGTGTGTGTGTGTGTGTGTGTGTATGTATGTATGTATGTATATATATAAAACGCATTCAAGGCATTTTCATTATTTTTATAATTAATTAGCAACTCATACTTAATAATTGTCTTGTCATCATTTAAAATGCCATATATTTGCAACTTGGAGTGTTGGTGTAAAATTTTGTAACTTTTGAGAGCAATAGTGTAAATTGTTAAATTTCATAGTATTAACATAAAATCACAAATTTTTTGGAGTATTCATGTAAATTTTTTGTTTTTTAACATTCTGCCAATATAGCTAGGGTTTGAAAGATCTCACCAAGATTAATCTGATAAAATTATTTTTATACTAATATATATTACAAGTTTTGTTTAAATTGTAGCTCAAAGTTCATTTTATTTTACTCGAAAATTAAAGGTCAAACTGATGAACAAATATATAGAGACGGAAGGAGTATTTAGTTATAATGTAATTTCATATAATTGGATATATTTTAAGATATAGTTTTGTTGTATCAAAATTTTATAACATTTTTATTTTAGAATCATATTTATTTTGTGATCAAAGATACTACAAAAGTCAAACTAAGACGACCATTTTAGACCAGAGGGAGTATACATAATACACTATAACCCCGCTATTGAACAACCTTGCCTTAAAGGTTGAAATGCTGGATATTGAAATGTGATAGCTTCAACCAATTCCCATAAAATGATTAAAATCGAGTGTTGGCCAAATTATTGCGCCTAGTGGTCCTGGATACATTCAATGGCTAAGGCATTTGGTAGTATGTATTGCACCTTGCAATCAAGGAGTTATGGGTGGTTGTATTGGTAATATCCCTCCAAAAGGTTTCAAAAGTGAAACATGGAAGATATTATGATTTTTTTTTCAAAATCCACTTTTCCAATCATATCCCAGTATGAAAAAGTCCATAGTACTAGGCAGTTAGCTTCTCATTACTCATGTTCATTATAATGGCCTTTGTAGGGTTAAAATTTGAGCCATACACAATCTCTCGCATGAAAATTTTTTATCAGTTTAATGGGAACCAACCAGTTGCTTTTTCATATTTTTACCCTCTTGAGGTGAAATTTGAGTTGCATGATTATATCTTCTCATTTCTGTTGGGATCTATTCGACCGTTCAACTTCATATGGGGGGGGGGGGGGGGT